CCACAAGAGAAAAAAAAAAGAATGAGTTGAAAAGTTCACAAAATTGTCATTAAAAATCCTTCTAAATCAATCGAGTATTCTATGCCCAAGTCAAAGTTTCACAGGCTACCACCATCCTAACATTTAAACCTCAGAAGAAAATTCACTCTGGCCAAATTTCAACTCACAAAGATAACAGAACCTAAGAAGAAGGTAGATTCAAAAACAGAGAACCCACAGACATAGTAAATGGAATTCATATCTCATGACCTACAATAGGGAAACAGGTAGGTGTTTTTAGCATACAGACATTTAAAATATTTGAGGAGATAAAGGGAAATATAGAGTCCCCAAATAGGCACAGAATATTAAGAAATGAGAACAAGTGGATTACTAACAAGAAACCAGCAGCAACTCTTTTTAGTGCCACTTTGTATGTGTCAAGGAATTCACAGTGAATACTTACTAACAGTTTTTCCCTGTAGTATTTCTGACATGAGGGACACATAAGAAGAGAAACAGCTGCTTTCTAGAGTCTGAATTATAAAGTAGGTGTAATAAAGAGAATGGTTTTGAATAGGATGGTTATTAAGCTATCCAACACTATAAACCAATGACTTACAAACACTGGCCTACTCTTTTTGGTATTTGAGAGAGATACTTTGATGGAAGATGATTCTAAAATATAATTACTTGCTCTTTTAGTTTTCTCTTTATTGTCATAGGAAACTACCGGGTATTTTTTTTCTTTAGATTGCAAACTCATTAAAAAAGGGAGCTTCTAATGAACAATTTAGTTAGATTGGTTTTTGGCTTGCCTAAAAGCTTAAATTTGTATTAATATTCTAATCAAAGGTCTTGGGAAATATTTTAAAAAAAAAAAAGAAATAAAGAAGAAAATCTTCTTTCTGATGCTTATTTTATGGAACCAAAGAAACTCAAGAAATACAAAAGCAAGCGATGAGTGAGTGTGGTTTAACCACAGTGACCAGCCCCATGTTTGCAGCAGATTGAAAGTTTCCCACCTGACTCATGGTAAACTTGTTCAGCTGTTTAAGATTATTTTTTACCCATATTTCAGAACAGTTTGGAATTTTTTAGCTTTATAAGGGCAACACAAGGAGCTTACCAATGATAACCTTTGGTTTTTTTTTTTTACCTTCAAATCTCTCATGCTTACTGTGCTTGGCTTACATTCAAAAGATACTGGTAAAGACTCAGATAAAACATATTGATTATACACTATTGGAAAGATATGCCCAGTACTTTCAAATTATCTCATTTAATTCCTGCAATAATCACATGCAATAAGAATCACTGTTCCCATCTTACAAATGACGAAACTGAGGCTCATGATGAGAGAAAAGGAGTGACCGTCCAAAGCCACACAACTGTGTAAGTGCCATCAAGTGATTCTAGTCAAGGTCTTTTAGCTCCAAACCCATCTTCTTTCCCCAAAGGGAAAATGGTGCTGTGTGATTTATGTAAACCATAGAGCCTGTGTAAAGGCTACGGCAAAACCCAGAAATAGGAAAAATAAGAGGAGGCAGCGCCTCTTGTAGTGTTTTTTTAATCACTAAATTCATTTTTATTGATTCATAAAAACACAAAATTGTACTTATTTCAATGCATGTGTCCATTATGTAATAATTAAATCCAGTTAAACATATCTATCTCTTCAAATATTTTCATTTCTCTCTGGTAAAAACATTCAAGATCCTTTTTCTAGTTATTGAAATATATGACATAAGATCATTATCTACAGTCACCATTGTTCCCTCTTTTCTGAGAACCATGTTTCTCTGGGGAGCTCACAAAGTGATCCCAGTGCAGACTGGAGAATGACCTATATCAGCCTCCACGCAGAAAGGCCCGGTGCACACCGAAACCGAACACTACCAATAAGGTGAAGCAACACCTGTGAATTTACAAGAGCACTTCCCCGTAGATGTTGCTGTAGTCATTGGTAAGGAGGGAATCCCTTTACGTTCTTACCACTCTATTTCCCATACACCATCCAGAGTTCAAATGCTCCAAATTCTGTCCCCTTTTCACATCCTGTACTCCCCCACCAAGCCAGGTCAAGGGCAAACACAGAACACTCCACATGCCTCTGGCATAATGTTCAACACACTAGAGATTATTCTGTCTGCAAGGCTGCTGTCCCCCCAGCTAGACTCACTATAAATCAAGAGAAGGGCTGTTACCACCTTGACTTTGCACAGAGCAGATCGTCTTGACTGTGGGATGGATGGATGAATGCCTGCTGAATGTGCTGTCAGCATCTGTGCCTTTCTGTTCTTGCTCTGTTTCAATTACCTAAAATTTCTCTCTTCTTTCCTTCACTCTCAAGTATGAAAAAAATTCCCCTTATTAGTGGTCATTATACAAATGCTCCTGTAAAGTGTTCTTCTAATTAGTGTAGTCAATGCTGTGTCTAGAGTATCTCAAGTGATCTGCTTATTAACATAATAAATAGCTCACTGTTTAGGGCAACCTTTTATACATTAAATATTAGTCTGTGTGAATCCATGGAACTGAAGAAGAGACTGATGTCAGCTTGTGTTGGAGTCCAAAGCTATGCTTGTAAATTAGTCCCCTCAGATGCAAACCTTTTCCCGCATGATTCTGGTGTGAACACTGCTTACAGCTTCAGACTAGTCAATAAAATTCTACTCACTCCAAACAGGTTTAATGGTGTCAAGCCGATTCAAAATAGGGTCAAAAACGGAAAGAGTGGGGAGAGGAGAATTTCCTCCTTGCCTAGCAACTTGGGGTTCCAACGAGATTCTCATAAATTAAGTGTATTCTTTTCTATCTTTTAGTATCCCATACCCAAACTGAGCCAAATATTCCTAATCTTCAGTTATAGAGTTCACTCTTCACTCAAGCCCTTTCAACTTCTGAGATTCTTTAACCTTGACATTTCTAATTTTTTCCAACAAAGAATCCAGCTGATCACAACTAGATATTAGAATAGCAAATACGAAAATTAATCCTTATTAAGTCATGAATGACTGCCAGCCCACAAACCTTTTATAAAGTAAACAACATTCAATAAAAAATATTTATCTGAGAAAACTATAATTTTAAGTTGGCACAAATTCAATGGCTATAATGCAATTAGTGAAAAAGTCAACAAGGTGCAGGAAAGTCCCTCTGAGGGAAGGAGACCCTATTCCCTCTTTCCATCTTCTTTTGCTTTCTAAACCATAAGGTTTTCTGTTGGGCATTTCTGTTTTCTAGTCTGCAGTGAGGCTGAGGTGGACATGGGGTATTTTCTCTGTGAGGAGAAGGAGGGAATTGATTTCATAAACCCCTCAGAACTTAGTCTCTGTCCTTTATACTCATAGCATTCAAGTTGCTTGCTGTTCACTTTTTGGTTGTTCATTCACTCACTCACTCACTCGTGCAACCTTTCCCATCTGCCTCCTGCAGTGTCAAAAGGCCCACAGTTGTAAACAAAATGATTCAAGCAGGTCTCTCCTCAAGCACCTGGCAGACTAGTCGGTGGACAGATATGTCAAGGTGATTAGTGTCAAAACCTATATCCAGAGTTCCAAAGTAACTCAGGAAAACTGGGAAGGCTTCACAGAGAATGCATCTGGAGGCCCATGTTCCCATAGGGTGAAAGGAAAATACAATGAAGACATGGAACCAGACACTTAGATAGGGACAGTAACTTTACCTACTCAAGAGAGGCAAGAGGCCATTTAGGAACCCCTGTCTTCTCATGAGTTATTCCTTAAAAGTCAACTGGGGACTTGTCCTGTGCAAGGAGATGAACAAGAACACATGTCCAGCTGTGTTGGATGCCAAGCACAGCCACCAGGGCAGGGCAGTGGTGGTGCTGTCCTGTCCCTCTTTTTCCCCGGGCTGCTACAGGGGCGTACACAGCCACACACCTCAGGGATCTGCTCCCTGTAATAGTGACAGGATCTCTCTGCCCAGCACCACTGGCCTACCTGGCTATCCTTGCCTGTGCCAGTGCTGACTTCACTTCAGAGCACGCCTGTCCACATCCTGTAATGCTGCACCTACAGCATCTTTAGCCTCCTTCCCCGGACTTCCTGATGAGCTCTTATTTAGGGGAGAATGTGTTGATTTTCAGAATCACAAAAACAAACAGCTAAACTCAGCTGATGATGTAAAACATTGGAGCAGATACTTGCAGAAGTCCGTGGTGCTCCTTCCTGAACTCCTGACTGTTCATAAAATCCTAAAGAACTGTCCTTCCCCACTTCCTCACTGAAGATGTATCTTGTTGGTAATCAGGCTCCAGGCTACATGCCTGGTTAACCTCAGAGTTAACCCCAGTAATGGCTAGCAGGAATGAAAGCTGGGCAATTCAAAACCTTTTGCTAGACTGGGTAGGAAGTTAAATAATAAGCAGCTACTGACTGTCGAGGCTGTAAAACCATTTAAAAATCGCTATTTCCCAAAGTGTTGAACCCTCTTTCCTACTCCTCTTAAAGCTATTCCCACAATCACCAATTTCTTGATAAACTAAAAGTAGCTATTCTTCCCACTTAAGGGAGATGTAAATAAATTTTATACCACAGTAAAGATTGTGAAATGGGATAAATTGTTTAAAGAATAAGATATAAGGTGTCACATTTCTAAAGTTAAAGATAATTAGCCTTGCTTACCTCAGGAAAAAAATTTTATATCATTGCGAATAATTTAATTCAGTAGTGTTTTCTGAGATTTAGATAATGTTTTCAATCAACTTGGAAGCTAGGATTTTCTTACCTGTACAGATTTATTCACATAAAACCCCATTTCCATTTCTCTAGAGGACACATCACTTCCTACAAAAGCAATATGTTCTAGAGATTAAATATGCAATCCAAGCCTTTATTGCTTCACAGTGTTTCTTCAGAAAATAGCATTGAATATTTTTTGCTAAAACTATAGCTGAGTTACTGGATTTATGATGGAGAAATAAACTTGCATACAACTGGAAGTTAAAAATGTTTGTTTGTTTATTTGTTTTTACCTTTAATTTTTCTTTTCTTCAGGTACCTTTGATCTAGTGTCTGAGCCTAACTCAGCCCAGGAAAGCAAAATGATCCTCAACACCTCTGTGGAAGATGGTATTAAAAGAATCCAAGATGACTGCCCCAAGGCTGGAAGACACGCTTACATTTTCATCCTGATTCCCACGCTCTATAGCATCATCTTTGTGGTGGGGATATTTGGAAACAGCTTGGTGGTGATCGTCATTTACTTCTACATGAAACTGAAGACAGTGGCCAGTGTTTTCCTCCTGAATTTAGCCCTGGCTGACTTATGCTTTCTTCTGACTTTGCCACTGTGGGCTGTCTACACTGCAATGGAATACCGCTGGCCCTTTGGCAATTACCTGTGCAAGATCGCCTCCGCCAGCGTCAGTTTCAACCTCTACGCCAGTGTCTTTCTGCTCACCTGTCTCAGCATCGATCGCTACCTGGCCATTGTTCACCCAATGAAGTCCCGCCTCCGTCGCACAGTGCTTGTAGCCAAAGTCACTTGCATTGTCATTTGGCTGATGGCTGGCTTGGCCAGTTTGCCCGCCATTATCCACCGAAATGTGTTTTTCATTGAGAACACCAACATCACGGTCTGTGCCTTCCATTATGAGTCCCAAAATTCAACCCTCCCTATAGGGCTGGGTCTCACCAAAAATATTTTGGGCTTCATGTTTCCTTTTCTAATCATTCTTACGAGTTATACTCTTATCTGGAAAGCCCTAAAGAAGGCTTATGAGATTCAGAAGAACAAGCCAAGAAATGATGATATATTTAAAATAATTATGGCAATCGTGCTTTTTTTCTTCTTCTCCTGGGTCCCCCACCAAATCTTCACCTTTCTGGATGTGTTGATCCAGCTGGGCATCATACATGACTGCAAGATTGCAGATGTAGTGGATACGGCAATGCCTATCACCATCTGCATAGCTTATTTCAACAATTGCCTCAATCCCCTTTTTTATGGCTTCCTGGGGAAAAAATTCAAAAGGTATTTTCTCCAGCTTCTGAAATACATTCCTCCAAAGGCCAAATCCCACTCAACTCTGTCAACGAAAATGAGCACACTCTCCTACCGTCCCTCGGATAATATCAGCTCATCCACCAAGAAGCCAGCGCCATGTTTTGACGTGGACTGATGTTCAAAAGCTGTCTGTGAAGTAACCTTGTGAAAGACGGATCCAGAGACTCATTCCTCACAGCCTTTCCCTGCCAGAGGACCATGAGTGACTTCTCAGAATTAAGCAGAAAATGGATTAAGTGGACTTCAGCTACTTATCTAATGCTCTGAACAAAAGCTTTTCTTTCCCTTTGCAACAAAACAAAGCGAAGGCACATTTTGCATTAAGTTAGATGATGGCTGCTCAAAGAATGATGTCAGAAACTGGATGACTGTGTTGATTTAGAAAATCTCACTGGCAGAAATGCAATCTCCCCAGTCTCCACTTGTTCTGTCATTGTTGCTTTCCACATAAAGGTATTTAGAATACGTTCAACCTTTAGACAAGCACTAGGAGATGGGAGTTCAAGGTTACTCTGCCCAGTTTCCAAAGGGTAGGAAAGCTTTGGTGTCTGCTTAATTGTTAGAAAATGTGGCTCTTGCACATTTTGTACAAAGATTTGCTAAGTAGATTTGCTAAAAAGATTTGAAATTCAGCCAGTGTCTTAAAGATTCACACAGCCAAAATATGTCCAGTAGAACAACTCATTTCTTCACTGGTGTTACTAAAGTCACTCATAAAAGTTAAACTGCTGTCACTCTGGTGCCAGGTAGTTGTGTCTCCCTAGTCACATTAGCTATGTCATATCTGAAAAATGTATATAGTTTATGGTCAAACGATTATGTATCATAAAGTATGCCTTCCTGTTTTAAAAAGTGTATATTCTACACATGTATATATACTGTAGTCTGTCTGTAAACTGTTGTTATTTGATTAAAATCTGGCAAAGTTACCTTTATCTTAAAATAAAATAATTTTATTGTAATGTATTTAATCTTCATTTCTTAAATTAGACGTTGATTTATTTTAAAAATAAGATAACTGTGAGTAAATATGAACATTCTCATTTCAAGTTTGTTTTGTATCCTACCAGTAAAAAGATAAAGAAGAGTGCGGGAAGTGTGGCTTGAGTGGTAGAGCACTAAAGCCTTGAGTTCAAACCCTAGTACCACCACCAAAAAAAGGAAAAAGGTAAGGACAAAAACATTTTATTTTGCTAAACATGGAATAAACATCATTGTGAATTTCCCAAAGTATTTAAGGTAACACCAGAAAATGTCTCATTCCTTGTAAGCATAAAAATAATACATTCTTTTACATACATGATCACTGTAGGAAATTTAGCATATGCAGAAGAAAATAAAAAATAAATGCTAGCAGGGCTCCAATGGCTCACGCCTGTAATCCTGGCTACTCAGGAGGCAGAGGTCAGGAGGACCGCCATTCAAAAGCCAGCCCAGGCAAGTAGTTTAAGAGACCCTATCTTGAAAAATCTTTCACAAAAAAAGTACTGGTGGAGTGGCTCAAGATGTAGGCCCTGAGTTCAAACCCCAGTGCTGCAAAAACAAAAAATAAATAAATAACATGGTTTCTTATTCTTTGAATGTTTAGTTCTCTAGCTCAAAAATGATCACTTTAACATTTTAGCCCATTTGCTTTACTATTTTTGTGCTCATTATACACATATCTAAGCGACATTAGAGTCATAAAGTATGTAGAAATTTATATACAGATTTCTCACTTAACACCTAGCATCACAGTTTCCTACCCCATTAAATATTTTATAAAACATTTTCATATTTGCATAACATTATGAAATAGACACACACCCTGATGCAGTTAGTCACCAGCTTGAAACATTTATTTTTTCTGATTTTTTTCAGTTTCATAAATTATGCTGAGATGAGTATCCAATACTTGAACCTGGTAAAGTCCTGACACTCTGGGAAGTGGTGATGTTGAGTGTATGATCGCAGACATTTTCCACATTAATACATACATTAGTGTATTTCCATTCTTAATACATATTACCAGGTATTTTCCAGAAAACCTAAAACTATTTATAATACCACCGTGTTTGACATATCTCACCACAGCCTCAGTAACATGGGGTACTAAATTTAAGCAGAAAGGAGAAATTTACTGTAAGGATCAAGGTACAGGGAAGCAACTATGCCAGACAACCTCCTGGAGCAATGTCCTAGGGGCCAGTGACCTCATTCTTGAACCTCCCTGCTCCTGAGGTCCACACAGGGCCAGCTGACATGCTCAATGCAGGCCCTATAACCTGTGCTAAAGGATTGGGAGCTGATGGGATCTGGGACTAGGGGTCATTCGCAGAGGTCGAGGTGCACTGGGCAGGACCCCCACCAACAGACTATTACACTCACATTCCCAAGGGCGGAGTTATTTTGAGAATAAATGTGGTTCCATGTGCCTCTTGTTATTCTCCTTTCACATTATTTCAAATTTTCCTAATACAGTGCCAGTTACTCCAATGTTACTTTATTTTTATAAAGACTCACCTTTAAAAATTAAATTCTAGCTCATTGTAAATTACAATGCAAACTTATCCTATCTTAAATTGTTCAGGTCACCTTTGTAATAGTTTGCTTTTCTCCTAACAGTTATTTCAGTCCAAAGGATTGCAGACACTTTAAACTTGCTAAACCATTGGATGGGTTAGACTAGATAAGACCACTAGGAGATAATTGTGTTTATTTACATATCCCCTGTCTCTTGTACTTATTAACTACTATGAATGTCATGCCTCATGCCTTATTTTTGTTTTAATTCCATCAAATTGACATTTTCTCCCACCTCATTTATGAAATAGATATTGATAACCTTGATGATTATTCTCGCTATTTCAATCAGAACAATTTAATATGGAAGTTGAGACTAGCTTCCAAAATATTAGGATGGGATGCCATGATTTATACATCACGAGCATATTTAAAGTTAGGTACACTCCTTGGTTTTTTGAAGATTTTTTTAGCTATGTACCATAAAGGTCTAGATGCCCAACAGATCTCAAGAGTCACATATTCAAATTCTTCCCCCATGAACAAACCCATATTCTGACAATAATTCATTCATGGATTTACTAAATTTTGTTTGGTTTACTTGCTCTGTCCTGGGGGAACTAAAGTTGTGTAAAATAAGCTGATGGACTTTCCATCAGCTGCTGTGAGCCGTATGCAAGAAAGACAAGTCATGAGTAGCTTGGCGGCCAAGCCATGGAAAGGTTCACAGGGACTCAGTTTCATAGCTCTGTATTCTGCTGCATTTTTCCCAATAATATGTGCCAACTCTGGGATGCAGAGAAGAGAGATCAAATTCAGGCAGATCACAAAAATGGTGAAAGAAAATGAGCCTTACGGAGTTCAGATGTGTGCATGAAGGGTGAGATCCCTGAGGGTTGCAAACAAAGTAAATCTGGAGGAACTGAGAGACACAGAGACTGAGGAGTTGGCAAGACGCTGGAGGCAGCCATGCTCTGCCTTAAAAGCCCTGGCTTCAGAGCTCACAGGATAGCTGCAGACAGGCATCTCGGGCCCCAGTGCCATATTGGATCTGGACCCAAACCAATAAAGGAAGAGAGAACCCAAATATAAAGAACAGTATAGGCAAGACACAATGTTACATTTTTCAGGTTGCATGATAGATAGAAAGGTCTCCTATAGAAAGATGCAGGAGGTTTTGAGAAGACTGAAGATAAGTGTAGAGAGAAAAAGAAAATGGAAGAAGCAGAACATTAGAGCTGATGATCAAAGAGTCACATTTTCCAAATTTAAATTTTTGATTAAGTTAGTTAAAATACATATTTGTGGGTTGGGGGGCCTAACTTAGTGGTAGAGCACTTAGCATGCACAAATCCCTGAGTTCAGCATTGTGGAAGATATGCATCAATAATTATATCTCCTGTCATCTATTTATACACAGATACCAACGGAGCATTTGCAGTGTTCTGTCTCCCTTGTAGTGGAAATTACGCACCCCACCTAAGGACTGGACCACCTTAGAAGGAGCCATTTTTCTGCCTAACTACATCCTTGGGTCACAATAAATTGGCCCAAGTTCAAAACACAACAGTCTCAGTTTCTATGAGGATTTTTCAAATGTTGGCTTAGAGGAAATGGTTTGCATCAAGAATGAGGTTAACAGAAAAGGCCAGAGAACCCTAGCAATGCTTGGGTCTTAATTCTGTCTGTGTCCAATGCCCAGTTGTATCTCTGTCCACCCCATACTTTGGATCCAACATCCATGTTTTTAATCTAGGGGCCAGAATTCAGTGATCTATAGCTGAGATCTGTAGGTACTTTTTCTGTTCATGACTGGTAAGAATTTCACTTTTCCAGGGTCCAGCACATAATTTACTGGCCATACAACAGGAATAGTGTTGTCTAAGTTCCAAAACTCCTTGGTCTATGCCTAAATAAGTGTCATATGTACTACCCATCTTTGTCAGTTGCCTTATGAAAGAACAAAGCCAGACTATTCAATGGTAGGTATGCATGAGGGGAGAAGAGGCATGGGGATAAAGAAGGAGGTATAACTAGATAGGACTGAGGATACTATAATACCTAGTATTATACATTCCTGTAGGCTGAGATCTCCCCCAAGATATCACAGTGCTAAAATACTCTTCTGTTGCCTGAGTGATTATAATAAATATGGTTTGGGCCATGAAATCATAAGAGAGGAAATGAGAACCCACACTACCTGAAGGGCTGCATGCTGCCTCGGGCCTCCCTACTAGACCCTGAGGCCTGGGAGTTCTCTGGGTTTCACAGAGCCAGCACTCAGCCCTGCCCAAATGCAGTGCAAAAGGCCTTCGTTCGTCAAGCTACTCAACTTGCTTAAGCAATGATATAATGAGCTAAAAAATTGATTTCCACAACCAAAGCCGGAATTAGAAATATTACTAGCCTATTTTTTCCCAAAAGTCAGTGTCATAGAATGAGCAATTTGGCTTTAATGATATTTTATTTTAAATCATTCATACACAGGGAAGCTTTGGATAAATAAACTTTTATGAGTTTAAAGACCCCAAGATTTACCCTTCAAGCAGCATGATAGGAAAATATTTATCTTTGGCCTGAGATATAAATTTCATGAATAAATGATGTTAATTTTTAAACTATTAAAAGCCAGTTTGCTCTTATGATTCCTTTGCCTCAAGAATTCAAATGATAATGAGACATGTCTGCCCCTGGGCCAAGTTCTTGATTCTTTCCATGTCCCATGGAGCCTCTTTTGAACACTAAATGAAATGAGAAATAGAGATTTGGACTGAACCTCCCCATGAATTGGGACACAACTCAGGAACTTCTTTTCCAAGCCCATTGAAGTTCTGCTGTACCATCTGGGCACACATCATTGCTCAGTGGTAACTTCCCAGCAATAAACAAATAAGCTTCACTCCTCCAAAACGGCAGGTAGAAAGCAGGCTGGTGTAAGCCAACAGGGAGAAGCCCTGCTAGAGGTCACCATGAAGAGGAGAGCGTCCCAAAGGAGCCCCCAGAGCAGACTTGCTGTGAATCAGCCAGCACTGTGCACCACAAGAACCCCCAGAAGTGGACCTGTTCTGATTGGTGAACTTCTCCTGGCTGTGGCTGCTACAGAGGTTTCCAAGCAGTACTGAATACACACAAAGCAAAGTATACTAGCCAGAGGACATACGTACAGTTCTCTAACAGACAACAGCTATTCTCATCCACTCACATAGTAAGTGGATAACAAGGGCACTGGTGACATCACCTTACAGCTAGTCCTTGAGGCCTCACATCAGTTCTACCTTCTTCCATAAATATCACCACTTCCATTGGAATGTCCATGCTTAGAGTCTGGATAAGGCTCTACCTCCACTCCAACTTATAGAAGGTGGGAGAAAACTGAAGGAAATTGTTCCGTTATATTCATCTGGCTTAGTGGG